GGTAAGAGCGAACAAATTTCATATTTTGTGTTTTGGGGGCCAGTCTATTCAACAAGCGGCTGTTCTGGTGATGATGATTTCCCAGAATTTGATATTGGAAAATATCTTGGAAAGTCCACTTCCATGACAAGACCACAAAAATTAGATATTTTGAAAAAATGTTGGTCTCCTCCGAAGAGCTATGACTTCAGTAAAGATGTTGCTGAACGTCGAATTTACTCACAAAGAAAGTTTATTCATGATTGGCTCACAACCTATGCACCTTGGCTTACCTATTCAAAAAAATTGAAAGGTGCCTTATGCCTATATTGTGTATTGTTTCCCCCAACTGTGGTACAAGGCGTTTTGAGATCATTCATTGTGACGCCATTTACGCGATATAAAAACATGCATGAGGAGTGTAAAAACCATGCACAAAGTAAATGGCATAAGCAAGCAACTACATCAGCTAACAGTTTTCTGAATGTTTTACCTGTAAACGTTGTAGCTATATCTGGACATCAAAGTTTAATTGAAAACAATCGGAAAATTTTGTCTTCAATTATTTCAACAATTATATTCTGCGGTACACACGACTTGCCATTAAGAGGAAAAGAATCACAAACTGGTAAATGATCTTTTAGATTTTCCGAATGTTTCCCCGATTAATAAGTGTAATTTAAGTTTTTTTTTTTTAATGTACTTTTGCATCATAGGCGTTTTTCACGACTTAATTAAATTCAAAATTGATGCCGGAGATGAAATTCTTAAAAAACATATAGAAGAAGGCAAAAAAAATGCTTCGTATCTATCGGTACAAATACAAAACGAAATTGTCGATTTATTGGGGCGTACTATTCAAGAAATTTTAATTGAAGATGTTAAAAAATCTCCAGTATATAGTATAATGGCAGACGAAACTGCCGATATGTCTGGTAAGGAGCAGCTATCTATTGGTGTTAGATTTTTTGATGAACATAAAATGATAGTTCGTGAAGAATGTCTTGGTTTCATTGAATTAAATGCCATGGATGCTAAAACAATCGCTAATTTCATTGATAATTTCATACAAAACCATGGTCTGGATCCGATGAAATGTGTGGGGCAAGGCTATGATGGCTGTTCCACAATGTCTGGCGATAACGCAGGAGTGCAAAAAATTCTGAAACAAAAATATCCAAAGGCTTTGTATTTTCATTGTGCCAGCCATAAAATTAATCTTGTTGTCAATGATTCAAGCTCTGTTCCTGAAATCCGCAATACTATATCAACGGTCAAGGTGATTATACATTTTTTCAGAGAATCTGTTTTGCGTCGTAAATATGCTCCAAATATTCCGACTTTCTGTGAGACCCGTTGGTCGCAAAAATACCAGAGCATTTCTATTTTTAAAAAACATTTCGAAATGCTTGTTACCGGATTGGACACACTAGCAAAAGAAGGAAACCGCGAAACACGAACGAGAGCCTTCCAGCTACATTGTTCCGCTACAAAACCAATATTTATTATTTGTGTTTTTATAATTGCGAAATATTCTGCTATGATTGAACCCATTGTAAATGCGCTACAATCTAAAAATCTGGATCTTTTCTCATGCTCGATGC